AATTGTACGACACAGATTACCACTAAAAGTGAGCTTGTCTTTACGTCACAATATGAACTTCTTTCAAACCACTTTGGACACACACCTCTCTCCAGCAGCGAGCCGACGCGATGCTCCCAACGCGGACGCGGACGCATCTAGGCTGGTTCTCTGCAAAGCGCAACACTCGCGTATCTGCACCGCGCATGCGTACACGGAAACGTTCATAGTTCTCCGGTCAAGCTGTGTACTTTGTTCTTGCCATATTTAAGTATTATTATTAGTAAATTATTATTCTGATATTCCCTGCTCACGTGCCACAGCAGTGAGGTCTGTGTATATTTCCCTACGTTTTACAAATTCTTTTTTTCCCGCTCCACCACCCCCCCTCTGCGGAGGACTGCTTTATTTCTATTTAAATATTTATTTATTTATCTATCTATTTATTTATTTGTTTTTATTTACTTCCTCATACTTCCTCAAGAGAAGGAGAGGGAGCGAGAGGGGGGGGGGGAGGAAAAGAAGGGGGATAGAGAGAGAAAAACAAAAGAAAGAAAAAACTGAATCTGCTTCAATGTCTGCTGAAGAGAGAAAACAACAACCAACATCTGTACGAATCCCATCGAAAATCAAACGTTAAATGTTATTGAACAGCACACACACCCAGCATTACAACACATGCCCAGAAGCAACAGCCGATCAAGACAGCGCGCGTCCATGTGCACCTGTCCGCAAACCTGTGTGTGTCAGTGCGCTGGTGTTCGTAAGGTTTCTCCATGTAAATGTCTAGTAGTGTGTGTGGGGAGCCACAGCCCCGCCCCCCCAGGACATGAAGCTGACATGGAGGAGACCCGGGCCCCAGACACCCAGAAAAGGGCAGAGGATAGTTCCGGCGGGGGGTCATCCGGCAGCCACATCGCAGGAGCCCCAGGGGAGCACAACAGGGCAGACTGGAACCCGGGTCCAGAGATCCAAGGGCCCCCCCACCCCCCAGCCATGGCCCGACAGAGCCGGGAGGGCCAGGCCCCGCCAGGCAACCGCCGAGAGTGAGCCAGCACACACCAGAGCATCCAACCCCGGACATCGAGAGCCACCAGCCGGAGACCCCATCCACCGGCAGGGAGTGTGGCGGGGGGGAATAGAGCCTGAGATGTTATTCCAGGTGGAGTCTAAGACCCAACCTGACACATGCGTATAGACAAACAGGCGCACACATACACAAGCATGCTTGTGTACGTTTTACAAATTCAAAGCGCCAGTTCACAGGGCTGCCAACTTTGATCAACTGGCTGGCGTGAGATTTTCAATTCGGAACAAGGCTGCACTCACATGCATACGCATTTATATGTATGTAGCAGTTTTATCACCTTGTAAATTGCCTGTAGGGTTTGTAAACTACCGTGCTTCGTCTGTGCATCTACATGAGGATAACGCGACGCATGTGCAAGGTGCAGTACCACCAGAAATTGGGGTGGCAGTATGGTCACGTTTTGTCACGGGACATTGTCTTTACATACAGTACAGATAGTATTAAAGTAGCATCTTATTTTTTAAGAATGAGCGGCCAGAAGAACTTTTTATTTTTAGAGGCAAGAAAGAAAATATTCCAAACACTATTGTGTCCTTCTGTGTACAGCGGCTTCAAAATTTAATGGCAGTATAAGTTTATAAGAAAGCAGTGTCATATGTACAAAGTACAATGGAATTTTAACTTGAAATTCTTACTTGCCTCCTTTCATAAGTAGCGTTATTTTTCAATACAGTTCCATCCATCCATCCATCCATCCATTTTGTGCCACTTATCTAATCTAATATATATATAACATATATATAACATATAATCTATAATGTAGTATATATTATATATAATCTCTCAGGGTAAATATAATATATAATCTCTGGGTCTGCCCCGGGGCCTCCTCCCAGTTGGACATGCCCTGAAACACCTGAAATCCGAGATCCAGTTGCAGAGAGTGGTGTTCAAACTTAACCCCCTTAGTTCCACAATCAGCCTTTGAGGGACATATTGAAGTCCATGAATAACATTCTAACATATGTGATTCTCTTATCCAAATGTGTCAGGGAAAGGTGACGGGCAGAGGCTATGGTGTCCCCAGTAGACCTGTTGGACCAGTATGCAGATTGGAGAGGGTCTAGAGAGGTAGGAAGATTGGTCTTTATGTCTGCCATGACCAGCCGTTCGAAGCGCTTCATGATGATTGACATGAGTGCTATGGAGCAGTAGTCATTCAGGCCGGTCACTGATGGCTTCTTCAGCACTGGGACGATGGTGGTTGATGTGAAGCATGCTGGGACAGACGACTGGTTTAAAGAGGTGTTGAAAATGTCTGTGAGGACACCAGCCAGGTGGTCAGTGCATTCTCTCAGCACATGGCTAGGTATGTTGTCAGGTCCTGCAGCCTTGTCTGGGTTGACTCTGGATAGAGTATTCCTCACATCAGCTGTGGACAGACAGAGTAACTTGTCGTCGGCTCCTTATTCTGTACATCAGAGTCTGCAAAAAAGTTGTTTAGCTCTTCTGGAAGGGAGACATCACTACCACTGATGTGTGGGTTGGGCTTGTAGATCGTGATTGGCTGAATGCCCTGCCATATGTGGCGTGTGTCTTTGGTGCAATTAAAGTGTTCATTGATCCTCTGTGCATGTGCCTGATTGGCTATCCTCATAGCTCGGGACAGGTTGCCTCTGGACGTCCTGAAGGCAGCCTTGTCTTTAGGTCTTAAAGCTGCATTTATGATTCTTAGCTGTGTGCGCACTTCCCTCATCATTTAGGGCTTTTGGTCGGCTCTCGTGGTCATCGATCAGAGTTTATATACTCCTCCAGGTTAATGGCATCACCATTTATAGCAGCCTCCTCAAAAATGTCCCAGTCAGTAGATTCAAAGCAGTCTTGGAGAGCTGAGACGGCACCAGCTGGCCACACTCTTACTGACTGGTTTGTTGAGCTTCAGCAGGGATTTATACGCAGGAACCATGAACACAGTGACATGGTCTGAGTAGCCGAGGTGAGGGGGGGAAGGGCCTTGTAGGTCACAAACATTGTCCAGACAGATTCTCTCTTTAGCTGGGAAGTTGGAAGAATTTGGGGGAAACTCGCTTCAGATTTGCCTGATTGAAGACTCCGGCAATAATGAAAAAAGACTCTGGATTAGCTTAATGACCTAGTCATAGGAATGGAACTCGGCCGTTAAGTGAGGAGCGTCTGTACAGAAGATGCTGCAGCAGTACCACAAAATTAGCAGCTCACTGTGTAGGCAGTGATTGTACAACCCCCCCCCCAGTTTTATTGAACGTTGTATGTCAAAACTATGGGAGGTATTTTCTGCAAAAAATAAAATGAAAATGATAAAAAGAAAATACAATCTCCAATTTGCTATTTAGTTTTCAAAGTCTGTGCGCAAAAAACCTGCAAAAATGAAAATTAAAGTGAAATAGCACCATTTGCAACTTAATTTCCACTTATGTATGAGTCAGATGATTAAATAAAACCGGACAGTAGTAAAACTGCATATAGTTCACGATATACGGTAAACAAAAGTCGGTTTGCAGCTGTCATCAAAGCGTGTTCTTCAGAGCGGCATCTTGACTCCCTCCTTGTACAACATTTAATGCCACAACCTCATACAAACAAGTGCGACTGGAAACAAAGGAACCGACCTAGATGGTTTTCTCACACTGCCCCCTGGTGGACATGACCTTTAATCCTCCAGATAGATAAATTATGCACGCAATTGTAGTTGTGTCGTGTGAAGTCGTGGCCCTAAAGCGCAGACTTAGGAGATGTTCAGTGTCACAACGAGTTTGGGGAAGACTATGGGTGCTGTATTAGGACAATATTAATGAATCTGAAAAAAAGTACACTGAAAAAAGAACAAACGTGAAGGAAGGAAGCCCCCCCTCACAACCTCACTACTGAGAGAAATCTCACACAATATAAGGATGCAGATAAAAGGCCTTGACAAGCTGTTACTGTGTGGTACCAAAAGTTCCTGCTACCCAAACAAAGCGAGGGCAGCCTCCCAGCTTTCAGCATTACAGTGCATGCTGACGTCTAGGACAGACTGGACCCCCCGCTTACTTGGTTTGGATCCACTGCTGTAGCTACAGCCCACATTAGGCAGTGAGGAGCAGCCCCAGTGTCAGTCATTCTTGTTCTGAGTAACTTCAGGGGGAACAAAGTGCATCAAAGCCCACAGCTACTCTATCTAATCTGACTGCAGCTGTGCGTCACCTACAGACTGGGTCAGACAATGTGTTTCATACATTAAACTTAGCTTTACTGAATGTCAGGTCTTTGGCTGGCAAATCATTATTAATGATTGATTTTATTATCAAGAAAAACCTTGAGTTTTATGTTTTAAACTGAAATGGGGTCAAATGACAACTATGCAGCAGCCCTGATCAAACCAGCTACTCCAACTTGCCCTTTATCAGTGAGACTAGAACACTTACTGTAGGAAAGGAGGTGGAATAGACGCCTTATTTAACTGGTTTGAGTTATTTTTACAAGTCAGGCACTACTTTCTGTCAAAAGGGTAATTATGAATCTGAATGTACAGAAATCACATCTGGAGTTCCTCAAGGGTGCGTTCTTGAGCCTCTTCATTCAACATCTACATGCTTCCATTTACTCAGATTATGGAACAGAGATAAAATCTCTGGAACACTTAAGACCATGTGTTTAGTAATAAAAAAAAAATCATAACAAATAATAATCCATTGTAATGCATTATAAACATGTCTATAAATATTTATCAAAAGGCATAACACATTATAGGCATGCTTATTATGCATAATGAATGATTTATGAAGCTCTCATCTTTAATGCACTATAGATACCTTCATAATGCATTATAATGGTCGATATAAGCATTAAGGATGCTTTGTATTGCATTATGAAGGTATCTATAGTGCCTTATAGAAGAGTGTGTCATAAAGCATTCATAAAGCGTTATAAACATGGCTATAATCCAGAAGAAATAAAAATACAGATGCTCCTCTACTTCTGAACAAGATACATTCCGAACGGCCGTTCGTAACTTGAAATGTCTGTAAGTCGTTATTCAGCATAATTTTAAGGGTATACGCAAGTACAAAGAACTAGGATACTGGGAGTACGCATGTTACGCTGCTGCGCGAGTAGGGGCCAGAAGTCATACTGTATCGAAGGAGTAGGTGGCACAGAAAAAAAAATATTGTGGACAGGAAACGGAAGCCCAATGAACAGAATGTGAACTTATAATCCTCTTTTTGTATTTGTATGTCTGAAAGTTCGTAAGTAGAGAAACGCCTGTAAGTCTAACATAACGGAATACATATGAACCTTTGCTCTTACTTTCACCTACATTAATTTTTGAAACCGGTGGAAACGCAGGCAGGTTCTCAAAAGGCAGCAAGTGAAAACCAGCCCAGTACTGGCTCCGTGTTGGTGGAAATGACGCATCAGTACAGTGTTCCCAGGTCCAGCCCAAGGTCTCCTTAAAATCTGCCCAGTGGAAGCTGAAACTAGCCGAATATGTGAAATCCCAGTATACTGTATCTCAAAGAAATAAACCAGTTTGTTACATCCTTATCACTTTCAAATAGTGACTCCTGTCTTCTGCAATCCCCCCCCCCCCTTGTGAAACTGAACAGGTAAGAAGTGTGCGCACATACATTAACACGTAGGTCCTCTCTCTGTATAAACACACTGGGTTAGAGGGCGAGTGCCACCTTCTGTATTTATGTTCGGGTGAGTAAGCCTAGTGTAGTCTGGGTTTTTCTGTTCTATCTTTGGTTTTAGTTAATATCTTAATAGGGTAGGGAAGAGGTGTTATGTTTTGTTAATTTCTTTCCTTTGACGCGTCCATGTTCTTTTCCCTGGGTCTGGCCCATCCTCCTGTGTTCCCAGCACCCAAATCCCTGTTTTGGTTCAGTCAGAAAGACTGAAAGCTATTGCTCACCATGAAACCATGACACTGAAATATACTAATCAAGCTAGAAATCTTGATGTAGTTCTGGACCGAAATATCAACAGTCACATAAAGACTATTAAAAAATCAGCCTCCCACCACCTTAAAAATAGAGCAAGAATTAAAGGATTTCTCTCTAAACCAGATACAGAAAAGCTTGTTCATGTGTTTATTTTCAGAAGGCTAGACTATTGTAATGGTGTCTTCACACGTCTTGGTAATAAATCAGTCAGACAGCTGCAGCTCATCCAGAATGGTGCCACCAGAGTCCTCACTAACACCAAGGAAGTAGAGCATATTACACAGGTCCTTAAATCACTGCACTGGCTTCCTGTGCATCACAGGATTGATTTTAAAATATTATTTCTTATCTACAAGGCACTAAATGGCACTAATTTCCTTGAACGTTGTGAAGCATCCAGACCCCTGAGGGCATCTGGGAAAGGTTTACTCAGTGTCCCAGAATGAAGACCAAGCAGGATGAAGCAGCTTTTAGTCTCTATGCTCCCTGTCTGTGGAACAAGCTTCCTGAAGTTCTGAGGTCTGCTAACACTGTCAGCTCATTATAATCAGGGCTTAAAATGTTACTGTTTGCTGCAGCTTTTCAATAAATTAAATCAGTAGGAGATTAGTCATACTGTACGCTGCCTCTACAATGTCACTTATTTTCAGTTAACAATTTATTTGTTATTTGGGCTTTTAGGCTTTTTAAAATGATCTTTTAAATCAACAATGAATGTGTTTGCAATTCCCACCCCAAAGTTACGAGGTACCAAAAAAACAATAGTACTTTGTGTACTGGAACTATTGGTACTGATACTCGACCCAAAGTCAATGGAAAAGGGAAAGTACCAAATGTACCGTACCTGGTGCAGTGGAAAAGCACCCTGAATGAACTTGCCTTGCTTCGCAATTGGATTCAAAGGTTACTGACATAAACAGCTCATGTGAATGTGAAAGACCAGGAGGCAGCGGGAGAGAGAAAGAGAAGCTCCACTAGCAGAAGAAAACGAAACACAATAAAACACACTCCACCTCATACAGGGAGAGAGAAGCATGTGTGTGAACAGACTCACATTGTAAGAATTCTGCTCTGGTCCTGGGCACTAATACCGGTGGGATGGTGTCTTTGGTAACTAGAAGGAGACAGAGAGAAACAGGGATGTGAGTAAAAGGAATTTACTTGTGGGAGATGGACTTCACTCACTGTGGAGACACCAGCAGTAGATTATTATCATTAGGAGGGACAATAACAGGCATTTTAACAAACTGCAAATTATGGTAAGTTACACATAATACAGATATTAGGATTCTGTAATGTAGAAGAAACATGAATCGTGATCTGGGTTTTGTAGCCTGTAGAATTTAGAGCTCATTAGTTTTCATAAAGATTTAGTCTTATGGGAAACAGAAACTGACTTTGTCACACCAACATGAGACTGACTGTCCTACATACTCTCTCTGCATGGTGTATATTAACAAGAACAGACAGAAAAATGTTTTTATTTATCAACCTGTATGATGGATCTCTGCCATTTTCTTTTTGCAAACATTGTCCAGTTGATCCTTCAGCTCAGAAACCACCTTCCTCATATTCTCAAAAGAGCAGCGTGGATTGACGGAGATTCTGGGTCCAAATCCAGCTTCAGGGGTGACAGGAAGACCCTGGCACCTCTACAGACACACAGACTGATTAAACAGCTTCATCAAAACAAATGTGAATTGTAATGTAATTAACAGGACCATTAACATCTGACAAATGACAGACTAGCTGAAATACAAATGAGAACATGCATCCATTTGAATACTCTGGTTTTCTTATTGTCAAAGTAGCTGTTCTGTTACCTGGAGGAAATGGATGTGATCCTCTGTGTGTGAAAGTTGCTCCAGCTCAGAGTGTCTCCTCTTCAGTTCATCAATCTCCTGCTTCAGTCTCTCCATGTGTCCTTCAGTCTGACTCACTACAGCCTTCTTCTGATCTATGATCAGCTGTATCACCTCAGAGCGTCTTCTCTCAATGGAGCGGATCATCTCAGTGAAGATCCTCTCGCTGTCCTTCACTGCTGACTGTGCTGAGCTCTGTTGGTGACACAGAGAGCAGAGAACAGTAAATTACATTTGGCCCCTTTTGAAACTCCAGATAGCCTTATTGTACAATAGTGATGTGAGCTGACAGGAGGTATAAAAACAGCACAGGGCTGGGGTTTGGA